GCCCCGAGGCGTTGCGGCTCAGATCTGCTGCGTCTCACGACCCGCGCGCCCCTGCCTCGCAGCTCGCCGCCTCCAAGTCCACGCGCCGCGGTTCTTCAGGTGCCCCAGGTATTCTGAGGCGCGGTGGCCTGAGCCCGGCCGCCATCGATGACCTGGGTCACGGACTTGCTCCAGCCTGGCCACCCCGTGTGAGTACTGTCCCCTCCCCTCCCGAGCCTTTGCGCCACTGTCTCTATTACGTTGCGGCAACTTCGGGGGTGGGTGTGTGGAGGTATCTCTCACGTCCCCCCACACCCCGTGCGCGTCCCGAGCCCAGGTCCGCGGTATGGCCAGTTCACCGCTGCGGAGGGGTGTGTGTGTGGGTGGTGGTGGGGGGCGGCGTTGAACTTGCATGGTCGCGGAGTGGGAACCGCGCCTTCCTCCCGCCGCCGGGGCCGGAGCTCGCCTCAGCCTTTCCCTCGCCGTTTCCGATTCCCGCTGGCCACGTAGCTCTTTGGGCTGCGGTTCACCGCGCACCTACTACGCTGCAGGCGCACCCGCGGGCGTCTTAAACCGCGAAGCAGCTCAGCGCGGCGGACTTAACTCGTTCGGACTCTTTATTTCTGTAAAATGGGGCTAATCAGGGACTCGCTCAAGGTCACGGCTGGTGCGCGGAGTAAGAATCCGAGTCGATTGCGTCTGGCTGGGTCCGCAGACTGCCTGGAGAGGAGCGCAAAAAAAAAAGAGGGGGTGGTCACTTCGGCTTATTCCCGGTCTCTTCTTCATACTCCCTCCCCCAGCTCCGCCTTGTTTGGAGAGATCGAGAGCCGAGCTCATGGAACCTCACGGGGGACCTTTGGCGTGAGCTCGGAGAACTGTTCCGCGGTGGGAACTCCTCCTGCACTTGAGGCATTTGCCGCATCCCCTCCACTCCCCATCACTTAATTTACTAACGTCTCGGCGGGGCTGGGGAATTTGCTACGCGCCTGCTCTTCGATGCATCCTGCTCCGTTTCCTCCCAAATAAGCCCAGTCCCCGAGGATGAGTATCTGAGAAGCTACCTGCACATACCAGTTGGGGCCCAGGGACATCGCGCTCTGGGATTGGCTTCCCCAACACTGGCTTACATCAGGTTTTAGAAAATGCCTCAGGTCTGGCTTCATTTCCGTCCGCCCCTCTCCCTACCCCTTGATCTGGATTTGTTTCACATTTTCCCAGGGAAGGAAGGAGTCCGATCCCAGAGAGTGTAAATGTGGTCAGACGGAATCTTTCACTCCAGATCCTTGAGGCCGCTCCTGTGGGGCTGCAAGCAGTTCTCAGAACTTGGGGCTGGGGAGACGGTCGCCCCTCCCCTTTTGACTTATCACTGTCCCTTCTCAGCCTCCCTCGCTACAACTCAGTGATGAGATGAACTAGTTTTGTGATGTCTGACAAGTATCTTTGAGCCTCAGTTTTTTCATCTATAAAATGGAATGTTCCCTGCCATTTAGTTTTCCCAAGGCAGTTGTGGTTTTAGGGTACATGATAGATGTGAAAGTAGAAGGAAGATGGTCCAGGAGGAACTGAACTGAGAAGGAAGATGGTCCAGGAGGATCTGAACTGTGGGAGAAATGGAGGTGATTTAAAGAATTTTTTACATCAGCCTCTAGGACTCTGTTCACAGATCTAAAAATCCTTCTTTCCAGAGAAATTTAGTTTGGTAAGACTTTGAAAATACTCCTATCTTCTTGTTGATGTTCCTTGCCTGGTCATGATATTTTAAATTAAGACTGTATCCTGTCTCTTTTCTTCTTGCCAAGAAAGACAGAATGAAAGTTCATCTGTGGCCTTAACCTTTAGAGCAATTGATTCACATAGACTGGAATACCTTGTAGGGAACTGAGCATCTCCCTGATTTTGCCTTCCTGACTGTTATTATGTTTGCAGACTTTTGTCTCAAAAGCAATTTGAGGAAGGATGACTGGTCAGACCTTAGTGAATTTGTTTTAATGTTATACGAGGTATGACATAATCACAGAAAAATTGCACATGTCTGAAGTGTATTTTCAATAGATTTTCACAAACTTAACACACCTGTGGAAACAGTGCCCAGCTTAAGACCTAGAATGTTCCTAGTCTCCTCATTACCCCTACAGGCACTATCCCCCAAGGGTAACCGTCATCTTGCTCGGTTTTGTCAGGCAAGTTTTATTTTTATTACTGTTACCATTTATTTTATCATTTTAGTTTCAAAGTGAAAATGAAACCACTAGATGATTTTCTACCTCCGTGTGTGTGTGTGTGTGTGTGTGTGTGTGTGTGTGTATGCAAACCAAAGGTAGTCATACATAAGCCAGTCCAGAAAACTAGAAGGAAGAATTTGGTCTTAAGATCTGGTTGGAATCTGAACCGGTTCTTCTCCCCCTCCCCCACTCCCACACACATACCCTGATCATTGGTTCTCGGGTAAGCGCGAACCCAGATATATATAACAGTATTTACATTGATAAATGGAGGCTGGTTTATTCATAGAGTCTATTTGAATAATACGAATCTGAAATAGTGTGATAATAAAATAACAAAGAAAAGCTATGAACGAATTCTTATTTTATACATAAAAATGGAAATATTTTGAATTCCTCTAAGTGAAAAATTTGGTGGAGAATCACAGAATTTCAAGGCTGAGTGATTTATGAGTTGTTTGGGCTGTTGCCACATGGTGGCGCAGCATTGGCCGGAGAGCTGAAATACCCACCATCCTTTCCCAAGGCCCCTGGAAGGAATCCCAGGAATAAAATCCAACACTTAAAGATCGCCCAAAGTAATTTCCAAACACTGCGGATTTTGCAGTGTCCAGCAGGGAGGCTTCCCTCCGGTGTCCACCAACTCCATGGATAGAATGCTACCCCGGTTTTTAGGACGGTGGCTTGTGGGTTGGGGCAGGTGAATCTGAGACTGTCGCCTTCTCTTTAGTAATATGGAGCTGTGATATGTCCTTGGGATTTTAAAGAAGGTCAGTTGAGAAGCTGGCTTAGGTGTATTATGGTCTTTTAGGTCTCATTTTACCCCAGAATTCTCCAAAAGGTGAGAGAAGTTTTCTTTCCTGAGGTAGGAAAGAGCGCTGTCCATGGTGAACCCGGAAGAATAAACAGGCCTGGGTTTAGCCCAACTGCTGCTGGAAGAAATGCCCTATGCTTTCCCAAGCATGGGGGCCAAGTCTCCTGGGGAACCTTCAGTGGGCAGGGGATGTTGTCCAGCCTTGGAGATGGCTAAGGGGACCAGTCCACTGCCCTTCTTCCACCCATCACCTTTTCCTCTTTACTGTCAGTGTGACTGAGATGCTGTTTAGATGATTGGATTTGTGTGATAGCCACTGCATCTCTGATTGCTGAGAGTGTTGAGTATTTGCCGTGTGTCAGAGCAAGATTTGAAAGGCGAGTCTCTTAGAAAACTTTCGTAACTGAGTTTTAGCCTTCTGCAGGATGAGAGAAGTCTTGGATAATTCTTTTGTCTTCTTTAGCATAGAACTTTACATGTAGTAGCTAATTAAGTCTAAGTGTGAGATTACCATACATAGAAAATTCTCTCTGAGCAAGAGGGAAATTCAGACACTGAAGGATGATAATTTTGGGGTTGAGTCCATGCAACCTGTAAAACTGGAACTAGTGTGTGCCCATTAAAATGTGTAGTCTTCTTTTGTGTTTAAAATTTTATGTAAATGAAGGCCTGTCATTTACTTTTGTGATTTGCTTTTTTCACCTAGTATTGTTTTTGACATGTGTTGATAACATATGTCGATTATTGTAGATATACTATTTCTTTGATGTACTAGAGCTTAAATATTCTCTGTCGATGAATGAAAAAAGTGTTTTTACCTTTTGCTATTATAAAAAATATTGTAGGGAATATCCTTGAAAAGATCTTGTAGAAATGTACACAAGTGTGTCTACCATATATACCCCTAGAAACTGAATATTTGGATAGTAGGATACACTTGCAGCAACATCTGTCAGTTACCTCAACCCTACTGGGTTTTGCAAATTGTCCTCTGGTGCAGCTGTGCCACTTTATACTCCTGTTAGCCCTGTGTTGGAGTTTCTTGTATCCCCATCTCTTTGACTGTGCCTGCTATTAATCAGATGCTTTCATTTAAGTTAATCTGAAAAGTATGGAATATATTTCAAGGTTCTTTTACTCTGCATTTCCCTTAAAGATCTTTAAAAAAACATATCTTGGTTTTTAAGTCTTCTTCTCTATGCATTGCCAATTTTTTTTAAAGACCAAACTTTTAGATCCTTAAACTCCTCTGAAATTTATATTTCTCTATTGTGTGAGGCAGGCATCTACTTGTTTTCCTTATTGAAAACTTTATCTCATTATCATTTAATGGATAATTAACTTTTCTCATTTATTTTGTTGCCTTCTCTGTCATGTACCAATTTCTGTTATATTTTTGGATCTATTTCTTAACTCTGTTCTGTTCTTTTTGTAATTCCTCAACTAATACCATTTTCATTGAATTATTAAAGCTTTATAATAAATCTTCCCTTCTTAGCCTTTTTCTTCATAATTTTCTTGGCCGTTCTTGACCCTTTAGGCTTCAACTTGAATTTTTAGGATTTCTCCTAAATATCCCTTCCTATGAAAAATATTGTTATCAAAATTTGGTAAAATATCAAATAAAATTATATACTTATTTCTTTTTCTTCAAAAATAGTGCTAATCAAAGCTTTTAATTTCCTGTTATTTACTGTGAAATTCTGGTTCTCGTTTTAAATGGATTCACTTTAATTGACTCTTCTCTGATACCAGATATCCTTGAATAGTAAGGACCATATAAATATAATTTTTAAACACAAATAAGGTCATTTTTTTTTACTTAACAACATATGAGCGACGTTAATGTCAATAATCTTCTGTATCATTTTTATCCTCCTAATAATCTATTTCATTTATATACCGTAATTTATTTAACAAAATCATTCTTTTAAAACATCAGCCACTTTATACTTTGTATTGTAACTTCATCTTTGTATACATTTTTGTTTTCTTGGGATGAATTAGCTTATCTAAATTACTTTTCTTTAAATATTTGATCCATATTGCCAAATCACTCTCCAGGAAAGTTTATAAATTTATTTTGCTATTGCTAATGTACAAGTGTGCCAGATCCCCATGCCTTGCCAGCGATAAATATGATTATTCATCAACATTGCCAATTTCGTAGGCA